AAAAAAAAAAAAAAAAAAGAGTGGGAGAAAAATGTAGAACAAAATTCAAATTCATAAAAAGACCAAACTTTCTGGTCTGACAGAGACTGGAGGAACCCCTAAAACTATAGCCCTAAGACACTCTTCTAAGCTGGAAGTGAAGCCACTCCCAGAGGCCACCTTTCAGCCAAGTAATAGATTGGTGTATAAAATAAACAACAGCACCTATGAGGAATGTGCTCCTTAAAACAATCAACTGTATGAAACCAAAAGGGCAACATTTGCCCAAGAGCAAAGATGAGAAGGCAGGGAGGGCAGGGAAACCTGAAGAATGGCAACAGGGAACCAGGGTGAAAATGAGGAGAGTGCTGATGCATTGTGGGAACTGCAACCAATGTCCCAGAACCATTTGTATATAAATTATTGAATGGGAAGTTAATTTGGTGTGTAACTTTCACCTAAAGCACAATAAAATGTTCACAAAAAGGCAAGTAAATCACTTAAAACAAGACAAAACAAAAATGCTATAGCTGAAAGCTTCCATTTAGTTTTAGAGACATAACTATTCGTTTATTAATGAATGGACTAAGAAATGGGGCTAGATCACTGAGCTGGTCAGAGTAAATAAAGAACTATCACCCAGGCTCCTGATAATAATCCTGTGCTGTTTGCAAGATATCCTGATCCTCAGACTCTGAGACTCATAACTGATATTCAGACTCTGAGAATTTTCAAGGGTCTTTTCTAGGGAAGAACACATAAATGTCGGCAATCACTCCTCAGGTGGGTGTTGCCAATGTCCAGGTACCTCTGATGTTAGATGCCTGGCTTTGAGCTTCAGAAAACAGTGGCTGCTGAGAACCAGAGGTTTTAAACAAGGAATCTACTCTCTTCACTATCGCCCAGAAACTCCATTCAAAAACCCCAAATCTGGGCCCTTAAGGGACATAATCCTTCTGGCTTTCTTTGATTAAATAAATATTTTCCCTTTCAGAAAAATTTCCCTTCCCCAGTACAATCAAGGCCTTAATTCCACTCTTAATTTAAATGACTCGCCTCAAATCCTCCAAGAATATCAAACACAAAGTTAGGCACATAAAAGATTAACACATAAATATAAACGTATATACTCATTGATACTGTAATGTAAAATCTTTCAGAGGAGATGCACTGAATTCAAAACAGAGCATGAGATGGGATTTTTTTTTTTTTTTTAAACTCAAAACCAGAGGACAGATCTGGCTTTGAACTAAAAAATTCTCAGTTTCCTTTACCATGATACAATGACCACATTAGGGAAAGCCTTAATTTGGGGTCCAAATCATCACACCAAAGCTCCACTCCATGGACTGTTTTGTATTTTGGATAAAGGATCTCAGAACCAGTAGAAGAGAATTTTATTCCTAATGTCCCCAGGACCATATAAACTAGAAATGAGATTGTAAGTCTAAAATAAATCATTTACTTTAAAAGTAATTACCTTTAGTGGTTACATACTTATTGTTCAAATCAGTTGTACGTTGCACATGTCTTCTTGTTATTACAATTACTAAGTGTGTGTGTTTTAAGTATTGAGAAGAATGTTCTAAAATTATTTTCCTCGAGGCACAGGCATCATAAATCATCACGAACTTCGTAGGATAGTTCACCTGAATTGGGTGCCAAATTAGGACCCAGAGGCACTCCTCAAGAATAAATAGGAACTTAGAGGGCCAAGTGGCAGAGACAGGAGTTGCAGGGAAGTCCACCTACCAGCCTTTGGAGGAAGTGGACAGGAAGGGTGCAGGTTCCCAGAGAGAAGGAACATACAATTATGAAGTATATGAGCATCAGTGAGACTAAGCCCGGATGTTTCCAGGGTTTCTAGGTCCCTGGGTAGTGCAAACAATTGGTGCTTGACTACTAACCGAAAGATTGGCAGTTCAAACCCAACCAGCGGTGCCACAGAAGAAAGGCCTAGCAATCTACTTCTCTAAGACTAAAGCCATTAAAAACCCTATGGAATTTAATACTTGTACTCTGAAACACATGTGGTCACCATGAGTCAGAATCGACTCAACAGCCACAGGTTTTGTCAACCTTTGCACTAGTAACATATTTGTGACCAAATAATTCTTTGTTGTGGGGGGCTGTTCTATGATGTTCAGCAACATCCCTGGCCTCTACCCATTAGATGCCAGTAGTTCCCCCATCTTGTGTGACAACCTAAAAAGTCTCCAGACATTGCCATATGTCCGTTTTTGGGGGTTGGGGGTAGGTAATTATCCCTGCACAAGAACCACTAACCTAGACTCATGGCTGAAGAACAGCTTCACTAAAGGGCTGAGCTACAATTAACTGGCTGATGAACATTCCTACAGAACCACACACAGGTCAAGAAGAAGTGGATTGGGGCAGACAACTTGCCAAATGACTGTAGACCTTTCAGGCTCTCCTCAATTGTAATAGCTACTGCTTTTGGGGGGTATTATATATTAAAGCCTTGAAAATGAGCATTAACCTTCCCCAAGCAATTTTACTTTTAGGATTGTATCCTTAGGAAATAATGATGGATGCTAAAGCAATTAAGCTACAAAGAAAAATGTTTAATGCTGAGTTGTTTCTAATAGTGAAAATTTATAAACAATCTAAATGCCCAGAAATAGATGGCTAGTCCAGTAAACTGATCTATAGACCCACAATGGGATACATTATACAGTTATTAAAAATGTTCCTGAGGTATATTTAAGGACAAGAAAAGTTGTTCCTAATATACCATGGAATGAAAGTAGCAAGACAGACAACAGTACGATTCCATTTTTACTATTTTACGTTTTATATTATATTTGTACAAGAAAAAAGCTTCAAAGAGTAAACACCAAAATATTTTAAATATCTTCGTCTTCGTGGGAGGATGATAGAGGTTTTCCCCTATACAGTTCATGTAAATTTCTTATGCAATCAGTATTTTTAATCCTATGCTTCTACAACCTAAAAGTCTTTGCAAAGGAGCATATTTCTGATAAGAGGCTAGCATATATAAGGTATAGATTTTGAAACATTCATGTCATCTTTTCAGAAAAGTTTCCTGAGAGGATTGAAACTGGCCATATATTATCTATTGCTCATTTCTGAAAAATACAATTCTCTTGTAAATAGCATATAGGGTAAGAACAGAGGCATTGAAGCCATGGTGCCTAGGTTCAGAATGTGTCTTCGTCACTTACTAGCCACACGACCCTTAACATATAACATCTTTGTGCCTCAGTTTCCTCATTTATGAAATACGGATATAACTGTACCTGTGTCATAGGGCTGCTGCAGAATTAGTCAATGTGTGTAAAATACTTCCGAGTAGTGCCTGGTACATAGCATAATCTCAATAAGTACTAGCTGCTATTATTAGCTGGCACCCTGGTGGCGCAGTGGTTAAGAGCTCAGCTAGTAACCAAAAAGTCAGCAGTTTGAATCCCCCAGCTGCTCCCTGGAAACCCTACGGGGCAGTTCTACTCTGTCCTATAGGGTCGCTATGAGTCAGAATCAACTTGATGGCAACAGGTTTTGGGTTACTACTTTCTACTGTTACTTTTGTTCGGAAAAAAAAATCTTCTAATGAAGATCTTACTATGAATGACACATAGGAATCCACATCATCCTTACATAATATTAACTACAAAAAATTTCAGGTCTGAGCTAGACATTTACTGATGAGATTTTTTAGCAAAGGCATATCTGTGACCTAGGTAAACAAAACAACTGGGAACAAGAACTATTAAAATAATAATAATACTTTAAATAATGGACAGCGAAGTTTGTTCTATTGGTTAAAGAGAAATGAAAGCTTTGCTTTGAACTAATTCATTCTAATATTGACATCCTCTAGAAATTTTAAAACATTTACAAGCTATGACTAAAGTTTTTCAAACTACTATTTGTGACCCATATTATAGAGCATTTTCTGTATAAAAACATAGAATAGCATCAAACAGAAATGAACTCAAATGGCATCACCCACAATAAGGGCAAGGATTGCTTCCTAAGTTTTTCTGCAGCAGTTACAATATACATCCGTGTGCCTCCTGGGTGTTGCGTAAAATGCATTTCTTACTGTGAGTCAGTCAAAAAAGTTTGGAAAACACCGTTCTATACCAGTGTTTAAGATTTCACATATTAATCTGGATAAATGCTTAGTTTTATTTTGCTTTTATAGACTTTACTAATGCATACAATTGTGGGCAAAATAAAATTGGCTGAAAGTTGATGGTGTTAAACATTTAAAAATATAGCCCAAATACAGAAGTTAATATATGAAATGGTAAAGGGTGATGGCATTTCAAAGAAAAACAATTGTATATTTCTGCCTGGCATTTGAAAAACAGGAAACATGAATATGGAATTTTCTTTATTAGATGTTCCAATACCAGAAAATGCAACTTGAACTGGTAAATACATCTTCTGGCTTCAGAATCTGACAGATCAGGGCAAGAATCCCAGCTCTGCATCTAACTAGCTAGGTAACCTTCAACAGTTAGCCGCTCTGATTTGCTTTTCTCATACTTTACAAGGTCTTAAGAATTAAATGAAAAGGAAGTACTAAGTACAATGCCTCACATATTAGGTATTCCAAAAGTATACACCTTCTCTGTCATAGCTCCAAAGTTTACAAAAAGTCAAATTTATCACATGGAAGAGGATAATCTCACAGTTTATCTTGTCCCCCAACTACACTCATCTTCATCCAATCATACCTTGAAGATAAACCAGATAGGGCTTTCTTGAGGATCTCAGGGGTTCTATCCATGGATGGTGGAATTTCTGGAATATCAGAATCTGTTCTGGAATCCAAATCTCCATATCTGTCATCAATATCTGTTTCCTAAAATTAAAAAAAGGAAAATCATTTTGCAAAATAGAAAAAAAAAAAAGCACATGCTTGCCAAAGCACTTATTTATTGTTAAGTGTGTCAAACTTTAGTTACATAACCTGTAACAAAGAAACTACGACACCCTCTCCTCCCTTATTGACATGGTTAGGTTCCAAAGACCAGGTCATTATGTAAGATCAGTGTTATGCAAAAATGGAGGATGACAACATCAAATCACAAAATAGAGGATGACTACATCATTACATAACTGCCAAACCACTAAGAATCATGGCCTAGACAAGTTAACACGTAACTTTAACCATCAAAGCCAGCACTACTCTCACCTCACACCTCAGCGTTCATTACTGCCAGACATATGTCATTAATGTGCAAAATAGCCAGATAGTAGATTTTTTACTATTGTCGTAAATACGAAATGTCAGATAACGAGATAGTTGATAAGTGAGGAAAAGGTGTATAGCTTACCTTGACTATCCAAGCACTGTTGTATTTCCTTGTTTGGAAAGTTGGATTATCTTTGTTAAGATCTATTAATATAAAGAACTGATTTAAATGAAAGAAACTCTTTTATTTTCTAAATTAGAAACTTATCACAAGCTAAGAATCTAATATTTATTGTTTTCCTATTTAACTGGAAGGACATGGTGTTAATTCCATTTAGATTTTATCAGCTGTTCAGTCTCTCTCTCTCTTTTCATTTGATGAAATCAGAGCACTAACAAGAAGAGTAATATCTTACGGTAGCAGAGTATTTTATATATTTTTAAGCAATTTAACCATCATCATTTTTATTAGATCTTCAAAAGACAATTCCAATGAAGCAGGTCAAATAGTCATTATCATCTCTGTTTTAAACCATTTGCCTTCAAGTCAACTCCAACTCATGGTGACCTCATGTGTGTCGGAGTAGAAATGTGGTCCACAGGGTTTTCAGTGGCTGATTTTTTGGAAGTACATTGCCAGGGCTTTTTTCAGAGGTGCCTTTGAGTGGACTTGAACTGCCAACTTTTCAGCTAGCAGTCAAACACTCCATTTGTAAAACTCAAGGACTCCATCTCTATTTTACTGATAGATAAACTATGATCAAAAGCATTTGTTTTGATGGTGAAATTTTTTAAAAAGTCATAAAAAATCCAAACTGACTTCCAAATGCATGTGCATAGGAGTTGCGCGTATGTGGGAGTGAGGGCGAAGGTGGGGGTAGGGGTGGACAGGGAGAAACAAGCACAGGGTGGGAAGCTCTGGACTTTTAGACAAAGTTACTGTAGAACTTATGGGGATAAGGTGGCCAAGGTAATTTTAAGAACCGAGGTGTCTAATGTTCCGTTTTCAAGTTGTTTGTTCTGTTGTAATGTAACTATTTTCTCCCTTAAAAATGGAGAAGTACAATTTATAAATGTAACTATTTTCTCCATTTATAAATTTATAAATAAAGAAAATACTAAAGTTGTCAAGGATTTCATTTTACTTGGATCCACAATCAATGCCCATGGAAGCAGCAGTCAAGAAATCAAAGGACATATTGCATTGGGCAAATCTGCTGCAAAAGGCTTCTTTAAAGTGCTGAAAAGCAAAGATATCACTTTGAATACTAAGGTGCGCCTGACCTAAGCCGTGAAATTTTCAATCACCTCATATGCATCGAAGAATACTGAATATACCATGGACTGCCAGAAGAACGAACAGTCTGTTTTGGAAGAAATACAACCAGAATGCCCATTAGAAGCAAGGATGGCGAGACTTCATCTCATGTACTTTGGACATGCTATCAGGAGGGACCACTCCCTGGAGAAGGACATCATGCTTGGTAAGGTAGAGGGTGAAGAGAAAACAGAAGACCCTCAAGGAGATTAAGTGACACACTGGATGCAACAATGGGCTCAAACATAGTAATGACTGTGAGGATGGCACAGGACCAGGCAGTGTTTCGTTCTATTGTACATACGGTCATTGTGAGTCGGAACTGACTCCATGGCACCTAACAACAACAACAACAACAATGTAACTATCTCCGTTCCTACACTCTTACCACACCTACACCACCCTCCTTCCCTGGCACCCTTCAGTAAAGGATGCTACACATACAAATGCCTTGGGGGAGTGGTTTACAGTGGGGGATTTGGGGCAAGGGGGCTGAATCAGAATTAAAGGGAAAAGAACATTCACAGGACGTGAATACAAGCAGATGGAGCATTGAGCTGATCTTTGGACCATAAATGACCCTAGGAATGAAAGCATCTGGGTATTCAGAAAGTTCAGCAATCTCAAACCAAACTCAGCCCTCATTAACGCCAACATTTTGGCAAATTTCATTTACCCTTTTAGTTGTTTCTTCATCCATAAAATGAAGCATTTAATCTTACCAAGAACTTGGTAAATGCAAAGCTATTATCATTATTATTGAATCGGGTCTTTCAATGCCTCTTAAGTGGCTTACCAAATAAAATTTTAAGCCTTAGGGAGTATTTTCAGTTTTTATAAAGCAGCAATAAGCTTCAGTTTACTAACTATAACTTTTTTATTAAACAATTATGAAATTAAATATGTCACTATTCCAAAAATTACAAATGAAACAGACATTCCAAATGTCCACTGCGACATCAGGAGTCAGTGGGCTCTGAAGCAGCTTCAATAGAGTGATGCTGCCTAATAAATGACCTGGGAGATCACCCCTCAGGGAACATCAGGGCACCAGCTGTCAGTCTGACATGACCAGCAGGTCTTCGGCAGATAGAACAATGTAACACATGACCTTTCCTCTTTTCCCTGCCACTCTTTTTTCCCTTTCGATAACCCAGAGTGTTGGGAGTAGAGTTGGTGACTATTGGAAGCGGCTCCGTAAGACAACATCCCCATGTCACAGAAAGAGGTCGAGGCTGGAAAGCAAAGTTACCAGTTCTCATTTCACCTCAGCTGCTAACAAGCAGTGTGACAAAGGGCAAATCACTTAACCCTGAGGAACCTCAGGCTTCAGTTTCCTCCTTTAGAAAATAAAAGCACTGAAATAGAATTCAAATTGTGCTTCTCAAAACATTAAAGCTTTCTGCAAAGCCCTTCAAGGTCCACTAGGCCCTCCCCATCCCATCCTCAACAAAGCTGTCCTGCTTTTATTTGTAATATGTATGCGTCTGATTTCTATTTTATATACCTCACAGACACTCGGAAATTTAAAAAAACAAAAATAAACTTAAATTTAACTACGCTTCTTAAGTTTCAATCTAATAATTAAAGAATAAAAGACAATTCCTAAATAGTGGCATTTTACAGCAATGTTATTAATTCCTCAACAACTGGAATTAGTAACAGGGACCCCTGTTATTCTGTAGTTCACGTATAGACACTTAGTTACAAAGATGCCAAAGTTAAAAAGGGAAACAAGCATGTGATTTGGAGAGCAGGGGAAAGAAGAAAGTAGTACTTTAATGATTAAATAAAGCCATGAGACACTGTACACGTTGAATGAAGGCATTTAAAAAATTTTAAGAAAACTAAATTAAGAGCTTCTCCTTTTCAAGCCCATATCTTAAGGATGATCTTCAACTTTCAATCTTAGGCCCCATGTTCTCCCACCACTCACCAGGTGACATCATGTACCCTTGTAGCTTGCCTTTCCATTTCCCTGTACAATGATGAGAGTCCCTGGGTGGCACAAACGGTTAAGCACTTAGCTTCTAACCAAAAGGCTGGTGGTTCAAATCTCCCCAGAGGTGCCTCAGAAGAAAGGCCTGGCAATCTACTTCCAAAAAATCAGCCATTAAAAACCTATGGAGAAACAGAATTTCAAATTCTCATGGACTCTAGACCTTCTGGAGCCATGGGGCATGGATGAAACCCTGAAACTACTGCCCTGAGATAATCTTTAAACCTTAAACCAAAACCATCCCCTGAAGTCTTCTTAAAACCGAACAATACTTTAGATTAACTAGTAAAAAAGGTCGGCCTTTAGCATTATGCTCTTTTTTTTTTTTAACAGTAGTACACATGTTGTTTTATGACATTGGTTAACAACCCCACAACATGTCAACCCTCTAACTTCTCAACCTTTTTTTTTGTGTGTGTGTGGTGAAAATACACATAGCCAAAGATACACCATTTCAAAAATTTCTACATGCACAGTTCAGAGGCATTGACTACGCTCTTCAAATTGTGCTGTTATTCTCATTTAAGATGAAGGCTTACAGAACAAAATAGTTTCTCATTTAACAGTTACTATACATGTTGCCCTATGACAATGGTTAATAATCTCACAACACATCAACAATATCCTTACTCAACCTTGGGTTCCCTATCACCAGCTTCCTTGTCCCCTTCTGC